ATATAAAATAGTAATACTACACACATGAATTCTTCTCACTAACTTTCTTTCACAAACGCGATGTATCAGTTTGTAATTGGTCAGCTTACAATAGGTCAAATCTGCCCAATAATAGGTCTCGCTTGACTAAATGCGAACTAACCAATTATGAAATGTCACATCAACGTTTGTGAGAGAAAATTGTGAGAAGTGTTTATCAACTTATTTTTATTCAGGTATAAAATTACATATGCATGTATTGTAGCATGTATAAACCATAAATAAGATAACCTTTTGGATAAGTATAAGCATAAGAAAATCACAACTTTAAACTGAACTCTTTAAACTTTAGTAATATTTACTTGAAAAAAATAAATAAATAAATAGTAAAAAAGCATGTATAGCAATGTGACTGCACTGTTGCATTAGGCCAAAAGTATATATCACAAACTGAGATTAAATTCTTAAACATTAACAACTATACATAATGTCAATTAATCTTTTTCCTAGTCGATCCACCTGGACATGACTCCTTCAAAAATTAAGGTAGTAAATGTATTAAGAAACCTAATAAATTTTATATCCAAGAGTATATTATATATATACCTCCCAAAAAAATATATTTATTCATAATAAAAAAGGAACTGAAAACCAATATTTTGGTAAAGACATCGGTTTTGATTTGATAAAAACATCAGTTTTTATTTGATAAAGACATCAGTTTTGAATGAAAGTACTGTTAATTAGCACTTATTATAATTCTACCCAACTATTTAACATTTGTTATTTATCTTTTTTTTTTTATTTTAACTCGCTTGATTAAGTGGTTAACCAAGAAAAAAACCCTGTTTCAAAAATCGATGTCTTCACGATAATATGAAAGTTAAAACTGATTTCTTTTTACTATTTTTTATAAGTACTTATTCTAAATTTAAAGATTAATCTTTTATGACAACAGGATATTGTTTGTATTCATGGCTGTAAAAGAATGAAGCATCGTTTTTTATCTTCATCCATCTCGAAAGGCGTATTACTAAGGTATTTTCTCCTACTTAACCCATTATTTCAGTAATCATACCTCATTTTCTGACAATAAACTGCTTCGGTTCTTCTCTTTCCTTTTAACTTTTTTTTTTTTTTTCCTTTTTTTTGTCCCAGTTGAATTGGAAATCAATGAGAGAAAATGAGGACATATATTTTTCATGCACTCATTGTTTTGGCTATAACACTGCAGCAAACTGGCGTTTCTGCAAAACGCATGAACATAGGCCTAAACTATGGAACGTTAGGAGATAATTTACCAAGCCCAACTGAAGTGGTTAAAGTATACCAAAACTTAGGCATTGGCAAGATGAGGATTTTTGCCCCCAACCAGACAATACTGGATGCTCTAAAATTCTCCAACATCCAACTTTGTATGGGTATAACTAATGAAAATTTATCTATCCTCGCAGAAAATGAGGGAAATGCCGAGAGATGGTATAATGGATTTGTGGGACCATACCTCAATAGCGTTAACTTCACACATGTTACAGTCGGGAATGAAATCATCCCAAGTAATTACTCCCAATACATCGTCCCTGTAATGCGAAATGTGCGCGCCGTTCTAGATAAATTTAATCAAACTGGTATAAAAGTGTCAACAGTGGTGGCAACTAGCGTTCTCGGAACTTCTTATCCACCGTCTAAGGGGAATTTCACAACTGAGGCAAGAGACAAAATGATTGAAGTTCTGAAATTTTTAAACGAAACGCGTTCACCTCTTTTGACTCTTTTGATCAATCTGTATATCCTTATTTCGCCGTGGCGGCGGATCCTAAAAACGTCCGTTTGGATTATGCACTGTTCACGGCCAAGGACCCGGTTGTTCATGATGGAAACTTGAACTATTATAACTTGTTTGATTCAATAGTGGATTCTTTTTTCTGGGCGATGGAGAAGGAAGGTTTTGGTGACGTGGGACTTGTAGTGTCCGAGTGGTTGGCCTTCTTATGCGAATGGAAATATTACAACTAGACAACTGGCCTACACGTATAATTATAATTTTGCAAGACGTGTGCAGAAAATTGGGACCCCAAAGCGACCGCATGCACATATTGATGGGTATATATTTGCTTTGTTTATTGAGAATCTGAAGCCTCCTGGTGTGGAGAGAAATTTTGGGCTTATATTTCCTATTACAATGGATCCACTCTATCCCATCTAGGCGCTAGCCGAGTAATACTATTTATTCTAAACACTTATATGATGTGTAATTATCATTAATAAATATAAAGTGTAATTATCGTTAATATTGAGCTTAATGTTTGATTTAAAACCATTGTGGAACTTAATTTTGATGGTAAGGTTTAACTTCCTTGTTAACTTGTTAGAAAGCCACATGTCATTATATGATTGGTTGGTATCATAATCATCAAATCCTGGGATGCTTATGTTGAATAAGATTATAATAGAAAAGATGTAACACCAATTTAAAACTAGGGGTGAGCGGATTCGTGTACTCGGCCCAAACCCTTGGAATTGAAACTGGAACAGGAATCGACTAGTTCGAAGATACTAGAACCGGAACCTGAGGGTGATCGGGTCTGCGTACTTGACCCAAACCGAAACAGAAACAGGAATTAACCGGTTCCTTCGGATACCAGACCCGGAATCACAGGTTTCGATTCCGGGTACCAAGCACTATTCCCAAAAATTATAATACACCGCTACTATTCACAAAAAAGGACCAATATACCCCTACTGTTCACAGAAAATTACAAATACACTTCTAACTATTTACAAAAATTACAAATAAAATTACGGAGCCTTTCAGTCTCTGTTTTGAATTCCAGGGCACCATGTTGAGACCCTGGATTTAGTTGTTTGAGCTCAACCGTACTGGCACCATGATTTATGAAACCTTTGTATACATTACCAAACCCTCCAACTCTAATAATGAAAATGTTATCTAAGTTGTTGGTAGCCTCTTTGATATCAGACAGTTAAAAACAGTTACAATGGTTACAATGTCGGCCCCCATCGACATGGCATTTGAGGAGACTGCACTTGGAGCATGAAATGAGTGTCACGCTGAGACTGAAATCAATATTACTGGTGTTAATGAGTAAAACCCCTCGTCTAGCATACCTCAAGTAATCCTTCAAACCACCAAACCAGGTTCGATACAAGCCTATGTCGTACTAGCGTGAGATAAGATTCCCTAAAATGGGAAATACCTTCACCGAAGATAATGAATTGATGACCTTTGCGAACGGAAGGGAATGGCACGGTCTGGACAGAATTACTTTTGTGATAAAACATTGAGAAAAGATTATAATTACAGCATACTTTGATTTCAATTCAATGTAATTATTTTGATTTTTATATCTACACAAAAGGGGTATTCGCATCACAAATATGATAAATTTGTTCATATAAAGCACCAGTTACAACACCACATGAGACAAAAGATACTATGCCTCTTACTAGACAAGAAAATTGTGGCGCCATATTCATATTGGACCGACATTTCCCAATTGCCTTAACCTCAGGCCAATATGACAAGTTAAAAATATTTTCTACAGCGTGGTAGTGGTTTTAGAATCAATTAAATTACTAAATATATCTTTAATATTTTACTTTATATAAATACTTTTGACACCATACTTGTTATATTTACCTAAACTTTAATTTCTTATATTCTTATTCAAACTTAATTTAATAAAATTCAAGTATTTTTTAATATAAAAAATAGTTTTAATGAAGAAGTAAGTTTTACAAAAAAAAACATATTAAATGCAAAGAATATAATATACGGTTTTAAGTTTGTAATTACTTCTGAAATTTTCTTTTAGTTTAAGTTATATAATATATTATTTGCTAAAATGAATGGTTGTAATATAACAAAATATAAATGGTAATTGTTGTAAAGTGAGAAAAAAAATGCTAGAATTAATAAGATCATAATTTTTTTTTTTTTTTTTTTTTTTTAAAGGGGCAATTTCTAAGCACCTCCCTGAGGTTTAGGGAAATTAGTAGTATTCTATTCACCTTAAAACAATGTTTGAAGAAAACCCATCCAATAACTCTTTATAGTACAAGGTGACAACGTGTTACTGTTAAAAAGTAAATATATTATGGCAAAGAAATTGGTTATTTTCTTTTTTTCTAATAAAGGTATCAGTTTTTTATATAAAAATGAGTATCTCTTGTGAGATTATTAATTTTAAAGAAAAGATAAATGTCGTGTCCTTATTTTTTAACATGTGTTATTAACCGATGTCTATTTAAAAACATTCAGTATCACATTATTAAAGCAAAGGTTAACTGAAAGAAATTGCTCTATGTCTTCACGATAAGACATAAGTTAAAACCTATATTTTTTTTACTAATATAGTTACTTTTACCCTAAATTTAAATATCAATCATTTATGACACCGAAATATATGCTTTGCTGTACAATCACTTACTACGTAGGCTATAAACAGCATGGAGCAAATCTTATCATTTTTATCCACTTTATGGAAGTCTTCTACTTGGGTATTTCCTCCTACCTTACCTTATTGCCCATTAAACCACATTTCGTAACAACACATCGCTCTGGTTATTATAATTCTTATTTTCTTAGTAGAGATAATGATAAGGTCATGTTATGTTTAACACAACGATTTCATATATAGGTGACCTTCAAACTATTAATCATTTGTAGTTTTCAGATGAATGTGCTATAAGTTATTTTTAGATTTGGTCATTGTATCTATCACCTTTAAGTCTTTTAACTATATGAAAGTATTATGGTTTTACTTTTACTGCTATATGTTGTTTAATTACTTTACCAACTTTCTTTGTTCGAGAGCTTAATCAGTATCTAATAGTAACATTAACTATCATCCAGCGTTAAGTTCTTTATTTAATTTAATTTAATTTAATTTAACGTATCTAATTGAAACATAAGATTAATTATGTATATATCATCTAGTTTAATTGAAGACTAACTTGTAGCTTTTTGCCCCAATTTGAGTAGGCAATCAATGACATACATGACTACATATATTTTGCAAGCACTCATTCTTTCCGCTATAACAGTCAGCATTGCCGCAGCAGTTCAACCCTTCAACATAGGCGTTAACTATGGGATGTTAGGAGATGACATACTAGATGCAATTGAAGTTGTTAAAATATTGAAAATGTATAGCATTGACAACCTTAGGATTTTGGCCCCCGATCATGCAACACTGGAAGCTCTAAGAAAATCCAACATCAAACTTTGTCTAGGTATAAGAAATGAAGATTTACCATATTTAGCAACACGACAGAAAGATATGAACGAATGGTTTGCCGAAAACGTGCAGCCATACGTCGAGGACGTTATCTTCTCATATATTACAGTTGGGCACGAAACCATCCCAAGTGATTACGCTCCATTCATTTTGCCCGTAATGCAAGATCTGCAAACCCTTCTTCATTCTCACGGTCTAGATAGTATAAAAGTGTCAACAGTGATCTCAACAGCCACGCTTGGAACTTCTTCCCCACCTTCTCATGGCATTTTTTCAACCGAGACAAGAGTCACAATGATTGATGTTCTGAAATTTTTAAAGAATACCAATTCACCTCTTTTGATCAATGTGTATCCTTATTTTGTCGTCGCGGAAGATCCAGTGAACGTACGATTGGATTATGCACTATTCACGGCGAAGGACGTTGTTGTTAAGGATGGGAACTTGAGTTATTATAATATGTTTGAGGCCATAGTAGATTCTTTTTTCTGGGCGATGGAGAAAGAGGGATTCAGTGATGTGGAAGTTGTGATCTCTGAGAGTGGTTGGCCTTCTGCTGGGAACGGTAATCTCACAACTCCGGAGATGGCCTACACTTATAATTATCATTTTGTGAGACGTGTGCAGAATTTTGGAACGCCAAAGCGACCGCAGGCGTCCTTGGAAGGATTTATATATGAATTGTTTAATGAGAATAGAAAGGGTACTACTGTGGAGCAAAATTTTGGGATTATGTATCCCAATAAGCAGCCTGTTTATCCCCTTTCAATTAATCAATTGTTTCCTAGTTTGAATAAGTGATGTTATTATTACTACGTATTTCAATAATCTAAGTGAGAATAAAAATGTAATCTTATATAATTTATGTTGTCTTATCTTCTGAAATTACTTATATAGGACAATCTCAGTACCTCATTTGACTGACATGGAGAAACCATCCTATAATATAACATGTATAGTCACATGTTTGATACATTTTCTCTTTCATCCACGCCCATCATTATGATTTATGAATAATCACTCATAATCATTCATCAATAATCACCATTATAAGAGGTGGTTTTCAAATTTAATAATACTTGTCAATATTTCAGCTGAGTGGGGTGGTGAGATAGTCCCATATAAGTTTTCTGCACATATTACTCTCCAAACCCATTATTTAATAATTAATGACTAATGAGTACTAAAATTACCTCTCAAAATTAAGCAATAAATGACGAGACCTGAAAGCTAAGACTATAAAAGGAAAATATATATATATATATAGATGATGAGACCTGCATTGATTTAATAGAAATAAAGCCAAAACACAAGTAACCCAAATCACAAAAACATGGACAATAAAACTTGTACAATTTAAAACTTCCTCAGCTGTTTATTTCGTTACTTCTTGATCATAATTATAGAGAAGAGATATAGTTCAACAGTATTAGGAAAATGATAAGTTTGAATTTAGTTAAAATCTATTTAAATTAAATTTTGTTAATCAATTTTAGAACTTATAAAAAGTTTTGATTGATCTTGATCAATGCAAACTCAAACTTCTTTGGAAATTTGCCAATTCCTTCAGGCTGGGCAGGATACATAAACCTAGACCCAATATGATTATATGACAAGTCTTACTAGGCCCAACTTTTTTATTTTGCTGGTATAAATAAGATAACCTTTGGATTAAGTATAAGCATAAGAAAATACTGAACTGTTCCATTACTGAACTGTTATTAACTAATTTCTGATTTATTTTTTTTATTTTAACTCACTAGATTAAGTGGTTAACCAAGAAAAAAGCCTTGTTTCAAAAATCGATGTCTTCACGATAAGATGAAAGTTAAAACTGTTCTTTTTTTTTTTTTTTTTTTGGTATTCATGGTTATAAAAACATGAAGCATCATCCTTTATCTTCTTCCATTTCGAAAGGCGTATTACTAAGGTACTTACTCCTACTTTAACCCATTACTTCAGTAATCAAACCTCATTTTCTGACAATAAACTGCTTGTTCTTCTCTTTCCTTATAATATTATCCATAAAATATTTGCTTAATTGGTTGATTATCAACTTATATAGATACTTTGGTCCCATTTGAATTGGAAATCAGTGACAGAAAATGAGGACAAATATTTTTCATGCACTCATTGTTTTGGCTATAACATTTCACCGAACTGGCGTTTCTACAAAACACATGAACATAGGCCTAAACCATGGAATGTTAGAAGATAATTTACCAAACCCAACTGAAGTGGTTAAACTATACCAAAAATTAGGCATTGGCAATGTGAGGATTTTTGCCCCCGATTCGGCAATACTGATGCTCTAAGATTGTCCAACATCCAACTTTGTATGGATATAACTAATGAAATTTTATCTATCCTCGCAGAAAGTGAGATAAATACCGAGAGATGGTATAATGGATTTGTGGCGCCATACCTCAATAACGTTAACTTCTCACATATTACCGTGGGAAATGAAATCATCCCAGGTAAATTCGCCCAATACATCGTCCCTGTAATGCAAAATGTGCGCACCATTCTGGATAAATTTAATCATACTGGTATAAAAGTGTCATTACAGTCGTGGCAACCAGCATTCTTGGAACTTCTTATCACCTTCTCAGGGGAATTTCACAACTGAGGCAAGAGTCACAATGATTGAAGTTCTGAAATTTTTAAACCTCTTTTGATCAATGTGCATCCTTATTCCGCCGTGGCGGGGGATCCTTAAAACGTGCGCTTGGGTTATGCCCTGTTCACGGCCAAGTACCCGGTTGTTCATGATGGAAACTTAAAATATTATAACATGTTTGATGCAATAGTAAATTCTTTTTTTCTGGGCGATGGAGAAGGAAGGTTTTGGTGACGTGGACTTGTAGTTTTCGAAAGTGGTTGGCCTTCTTACGTGAATGGGAATCTTACAACTAGACAACTGGTCTACACGTATAATTATAATTTTGTAACACGTGTGCAGAAAATTGAGACGAGTTGCTTATTGAGAATCTGAAGCCTCCTGGTATGGAGAGAAATTTGGGGCTTATATTTCCTATTACAATGGATACACTCTATCCCCTCTAGGAGACTAATATTATTTATTCTAAAAATTTATTTCAAACTTTACATACTAAATAATATGTCGACATCACTTAAAATATGAATTTTGTAAGTTTTTGGAAAAATAGTATTATCGTTAGGCTAAATGCCTAGTCAATTATTATATATATACTATTCTCTGTGTAAACTTGAGGTATATCTACTTAAGAAAAAACATGTATAGCAATCTGGCTACACTGTTGCATTACATAAGTATATATCACAAGTTCACATTAAATTCTTTAAATTAATAATTATATGTAATTCAAATAATATTTTTCCTATTCAGTCCATCTCTAGACATGTCTTTTTTTAAAATTAAGGATATGTTTGACACTTGATATAACATAACATTAGATAAACTGCATAATACTAACTTATTCAATATACTTTTTGGCAACAAACCTGTATTATATTAAATTATACCAAGTTCAAAATAACGTAATTTGTTCTACATCAAATAATGCCTACTAAACCCATTGTATTAGTTAATTCAATTTTACTTAGCATTATTTTTAAACAAATAAACACTATCAATTAATTTAATATTTATAAATTTAAATATGCGTTGACCAATGTTTGACAAACATTGACTAGACCATTTTGACTTCGGTTAATCGACAATAATTGTTAACCAGTTTAAGTTTTGATTTTTTTTTTAAATTATTAGTTAAATAATAATTGAAGAATATATATATTAATTTTTAATAAAATGAATTTTCTTTTAGAACAAAAATAATACTATGCAATGTCATATACCAAACATAGTATAGCATAAAAATACAAATTAAAAATTGTACAACATTTTGTATAGTATAGTATTATACAATTTGCTTAAAGTTATGTAATGTTGCATGTCACACATTGGGGTGTTCCATTGTATTAAAAACCTACCCAAGGTATATATATATAAGTATATAACTCCAAACCCAATACATAAAATTCATAGTTAAAAGGCATTGAAAACTAATATTTAAGCAAAGACACCAGTCTTAGAAACGAAATATTCTTAATTACCAGCTATAATTCTATCCAAATCTTTAACATTTGTTTTTAACTAATTTATGAAAAAACGCTGTTTCAAAAACCGATTTCTTCATAATAAGATAAAAGTTAAAACTGATTTCTTTTAACTATTTTTTACTAGAGTTTTATTCTAAATTTAATGAGTAATCTTTTATGATACCAAGATATTGTTTGTATTCATGGCTATAAAAGCATGAAGCATAATCCTTTATTTTCATTCATTTCGAAGGGTGTTTCAACTCTTTTAATTAACCCATTGTTTCAGTAATTAAACCACATTTTGTGACAATAAATCGCTTCGGTTCTTCTCTTTTATTTTAGTTTTATCAATGAAATATATGCCTAATTTCTTTTTCTTTCTTTTTTCCTCCCAGTTGAGTTGGAAATCGAGACAGAAAATGAAGACATATATTTTCCATGCACTCATTGTTTTGGCTATAACACTTCTTCACCATCAAATTGGCGCTTCTGCACAAAACTTTGACATAGGCCTTAACTATGGAATGTTAGGAGATAATTTACCAAAACCAACTGAAGTGGTTAAACTATACCAAAAATACGGCATCGGCAAGATGAGGATTTTCGCCCCCGATCCGGCAACACTCGAGGCTCTAAGAAACTCAAACATCGAACTTTCTATGGGGATAGCTAATGAACTCTTACCTACCCTTGCAGCAAGCGAGGCAAATGCTGAGAGATGGTATAATGGATTTATGGCTCCATACATCAATGACGTTATCTTCTCATATATTACAGTCGGGAATGAAATCGTCCCAGGGGAATTTGCCCAATACATCGTCCCTGTAATGCGAAATCTTCAAACCATTCTTGATGAAAATAATCTCGCCGGTATAAGAGTGTCAACAGTGGTGGCAACCAGTGTTCTCGGAACTTCTTATCCACCTTCTCAGGGGAATTTCACAACTGACGCAAGAGCCACAATGATTGATATTCTGAAATTTTTAAACGATACGAGTTCACCTCTGTTGATCAATGTCTATCCTTATTTCGCGGTGGCGGCGGATCCAATAAACGTGCGCTTGGATTATGCACTGTTCACGGCCACGGACGTAGTTGTTCAAGATGGAAACTTGAATTATAATAACATGTTTGATGCGATAGTCGATTCATTTTTCTGGGCGATGGAGAAAGAGAATTTCAGTGACGTGCAACTTGTGGTTTCCGAGAGTGGTTGGCCTTCTTACGGGAACGGGAATCTCACGACTAAACCGTTGGCCTACACATATAATTATAATTTTGTAAGACGTGTGCAGAAATTTGGGACTCCAAAGCGACCGAATGCGTACGTTGAAGGGTTTATATTTGCATTGTTTCTTGAGGATCTAAAGCCTGCTGGTGTGGAGAGAAATTTTGGGCTTGTAGATCCTATTACAATGGAGGGACTTTATCCTCTCTAGGGTAAAAGTCTAAAAGCATTTCAAATGAATCTTTATACAATATAAACTCTTTATTATAAAGAGTTTATCTATCAAAATAAGAAAGAGTTTAAACTCTTTATCTTTAAAATATAAATTAGAAAGTGAGTTTGGCTCTTCACATTTAGTGACTCAAATTTTATTCTCTATCCAAATTTTAATTAATAAACTATAAATTCTTATATATTTTATTTATTAATTTTCTCTCCCATCAAATCTCTTTCTTAAAAATAAAGAGCATCTTTATTAAATTTAAAGAGTCTATTGAATTTAAATAAAAATTATAATTTTTATATTTTAAAATTAATAAAGATATTTTTTATTTATATAAAAATGTTCTTCAAAATAAATAGTACTATTAGAGATGTGATAATCAACTGTTATTCTCCAAAGGTATGAGTGATATTATTTAGTCCCACCTCTTTTAATGTAAAAGTGTAATTATGACTTGTAAATAAAATAACTATTCTGGTAGTATTTTGTAAAATATTTATTAGTCGCTGAGCATAGACACATCAATCGCCCAGGGAAATGACCCCGTGTAAATAAAACCGAAAAACAGGAACCCAATGCAGAAAATATGATCAGTCCACAATGAAAAAACTTCGATTGATGCAACAAAGTCGTCACCAAATAAAGTGCTGTCACTCGCCTCCTTCTCCACTCTAGAACTTCGAAATTAAAGATCATTGAATTTTCATGTATCAAATTCGACTCCGACGTTAAAACAAAAGAACAAGTGAAACATGTTTAGTATTTATATAAGGATAAAAACGAGAATGTGTCATGTGGTAATCAATATGATTTAGGGTTCGAAAAGTTATTAATTTTGTTTTAACTCCCAATTGGTGGTCAGTTTATTAATATCGGCGACATATATATCAATATAATGTAGATTACAGTAATACATTGTCCACCAGTCCGTCAAAACATCAATTCTCCAAATCCCTTGTCCATCGACGGACTATTAGCAAAAATAAAGACTTAATAATAATAATAAACATCCGGACCGAATACTGAATAAATATAGAGAAGCAATCAAAGGCGTGAGTGTGGATCCGGGCTTCCAGTTCCTTTGTTGAGGAAAGTGTAGTCTGTGTAGCCAACAACAGGATCTTGTGTATAAAATGTCTTCCTGATATACTTATTCAAAGGTGCATTAACCTTCAATCTATAAACTAAGTCTGGATTTGCAATAAAAAGACGACCATACGACACCAAATCAGCATCTCCTTGAGCTACAGCTTGCAGTCCAAGCTCCCTTGTGAACCCACCACTAGAAATGAAACTTCCCTCGTAACTCTTTCTCCAAGTCCTCAAGAGCTCAGCTTCCTCGTCTTCTGTGCCCGCTTTCCCTGATTCTGTTTGTCCATAAGCGGTGTATCGAGGCTGTGTTATATGGAGATAAGTCAGCTTTTCACCAACATCTTCCTGGAGCTTGTTCAGTCTCTCAATGACTGCCAATCCTAGATTTAGTGGATCGGAGTCCGTGGCATCAAGGTGATCAATTGCGGGTGAAATTCTTACACCAACTCGTTCTGCGCCAATGGCTGCACTCACAGCTTGAACCACCTCCATTAAGAATCTGCATCGATTTGCAAGTGATCCACCATACTCATCACTTCTGTTATTGATCCTGTCCTTCAAAAATTGGTCAATCAAATACCCATGTGCTCCATGGATCTCAATTCCATCAAAACCTGAAAATCATTTAGTGCTTTATTCAATGAGATAAGCTTTCAGAATGGACTTGACTAATTTCTGATTACACACTATGACATATAATCCTTCCCATAACGACTCGCTCTTTTAATTTCTTTTTGCTTTAACTAGTTACTGTATAACATAAAATTCTGATCCTGTAAACGAGAAAATTTTCAAACTAAGTAAAATATCCGAGCATCAGAAACTGTTAAGTCGGAATTTTCAAGTTGACTCCACATTGAATTTCAACTTCTTGTTGAACACCTAAACATATACTTGTGTTCTGGAGGGTGGAGCCAGATGTGGGGTGGCAGGCATCGAGCGCATAAAAACACTAACATCATGATAGCAATAAGCGGCATTATTACTTACACTAGCGAGTAGACATAATTATAATCGCTCCATGAATTGCCATTTATTCTAAACCATACAAAATATTCCATCATGGCCGCACGTCTTCATTCCAATAAAGCATGATCCGTTCTTTTCTGAAGTCTTTTATGTAAGTTGAACTTTGCATGTTGAAAAATATATTTTATTTGTTATATGTGGTAAAGTTAGATTATTTAATTATAAGATTTAGGTGATTTATATGGAAAGGGAACATGTATAAATAAAAAATAAGTAATTGAAAACGAACCTGCTCGAATGGCGTTCACTGCTGCCCGGCGATAATCCTCCACCACCTCAACTATTTCATAAGTTTGCAGAGGTCGAGGTTTTGGGTATTTGGCATAGGACCCATCTGGCATTAGAATTCTCCACCTCCCTGATATGGGAACGTCGGTTGATGAAATTGGAGCGACGCCACCAGGTTGATAAACTACATATACATATTTTTAAATGGGTTAAAAATAGTAGGAGGGTTAATTGACGTGATGATTAGGGGATTAGATTGGTTACCTTGGTGAGACGCACGGCCAACGTGCCACAGTTGACAGAAGATAATGGCGCCATTAGCATGAGCCGCATCTACCACCATTTTCCATGCCTCCACTTGTTCTTCATTGTAAATTCCAGGGACATGGGGAAACCTGATTTCACCATCATTAATTTACCACCGTTAATAAATTAATTCATATGTTTAATATCATTCACATGGATAAAGCTTCATTATACGGCAATGCAAAAACACTTTGAACAATCAATAGGAGTCAGTCCAAGTCCAAAGAACTATTGGCAAGTGGAGGTCCCACTAAGCATTAAAATAAAAGAGGCAGGACCACTGAACCACTCAATGGCTTAAAAATGATGAAGGAGAATTACGAAAATACCCGGGGGCAGTTGGAGAAACCAAAGTTCCCTCAGTGATGAGAAAGCCGCCAGGTGTTGATCTCTGGGCATAATACGTAGCCAAAGCCGGCCGTGGAATTCCATTCAAAGCTCTGCATCTAGTCATGGGAGCAAGCACCACCCTGCAACTCAATAAAAAAGATCCATTCAGCGGTAAAATCGTAAAGTTCACAAAAATGATCGAACCACTGCAAGTGTTACTGACCTGTGAGAGAGGTTGAACTTGCCCATCTTGTAAGGAGAAAAGAGAGTGGCCCCTTTTTCTGTACTTTCCGCCATTACGATCAGTATTGGTTAGCAGATGATCTAATTGTTTAGGATGAAGATGATGAATATAAGAAGAAAGAAATGATAAAGAGAAGAACCGTGATATGAATTAATAATGGGGAATATTTCTGCTTTGGTCGGTAATGGGTGAGATCAGGTAGTATTTGAGAAATTGGGAATCATCAGTTGCATATTATGTGGATCATTGGATGTTAGATGAACGGTGCTGATTGATAGAGAGAATTGGTCGGTTATGACTTAAATGTTTAATAGGGTATGAAATAGGACATGCTTTTCACATGCTTGTTTAGGGTCTAGTCAACTTGGGAAGTTTGGTCTGCCTTCACGTTTTTATTTTCATTGGTCTGCCTCCTCACAAATTTCTTTGATTTTGGATTATTCAGATTTCAGAGTGACTTGTGATTCCCATCTTTTGAGATTTGAGCTGGAAACCCATTATCATTTTTATTTTATATTTTACACTACCGAATGCTTTTCTTGTTGATCAAAGAACATATCTTTTTTTTTATGCCATTATGATTCATACTTAAATATCTCAAGGACTAAAGTTTGTAGCAGTACCAGTAATAACAAAAAAAAAAAAAAAACCTCTACCGGCTGTCATACGTTAACAAAATCCCGTTAAAGTTGTCAAGGAAAGGGTAAAACAGTTATTACACACATTTCAGTGGGAATTTAAATTTAGGCAAACCTCAGGGGGTTTAAAGTAATTTTATATTTCTTTGGTGCAAGCATATATTTATAGTCAAGGGTAAAACGATATTCAACCTCTACAGCCGGAAGAATTGTAAGTTTGTTAATGTCCGGCATATAGCAAGGAATTTTGCATTATTAGTTTATTACTAGTACATGAGGGGGTTTCTATAGATTTGGGAAAAACCTTGGAGGATTTAAATTAATTACTCCTTATATAGTACTCTGTTTTCTTCATTTCTCACACCATCTCTTTTATATTTTAAAAGGATCTGTTTGGTATATTATTTGAACTATGATATCTTGAAAAGCTATTCTGAACAAGATAAGGTAAGATTAAATCAAATAGGGTAGGATTCTCAGAATGTGTTTGGTACATTTTTTTTAAATATTTGATTAACCCTTTATATTTATTAATTTAATTAACACCCCCTCCCCCAAATAAAAAAAAAAAATGTTATAAATTAACAAAAACACTTCCACCTACCCAACTGACTGCCGATAATCGGCCACCATCGTCGAACGGTGGCTAGCAGTCATCGAAATGGGGTACAATTGGTTATATCCAGTCGATCGTGCATCGTTCCAACGTCGAAGATGGCAGCAGCAGTGACTAGCGACTGACGATGGTTGTTGGTGACCCATAGTGGCTTGGGTGGGTAGGACTGTTTTTGTTAATTTATAAACTTTTATTGTAAAAGGTAATTGTTAAATGTTTTGAGTTAAATAGAATATGATTGGATTTTGAATTGAATTCCAAATATTAAAATAAACATGTTTTTTACTGCTTCCTTTAAATAGGATAATAGAATAGAGTTTTTTAAAGTTAAACAAAGAGGGGGTATATTATAATTTTGTTACTGATGTCATCAAAAACATGAGAAAAATCAATTACCTTCTTATAGTTTTTGAAAGCCACATTTTTGGACAATTATGGATTTTTTATCACTTACCCTCAAAGGTTTCAAAAAATAATCAATCACCCCCCAAAATCCTAATGTAATTGCAATCCAAACTCTATTAAATGATCAAGGGCAAAATAGTTTTATTTTCTCATTTCTTTTTTACATTTTTTTCCCTTCCTTGTTTGCTTTTTCTCTTTTTGTCCCTCATTTTATCTTTCTCCTCCACCCCCTTCTCCTTTCAAAACCTTTCTTTTCTCGCTATGGGCACAACCATTATGCGCAGCTATAGGTATATGCGAGCCAAGCCGAGCCGAGCCGAGCCGAGTATCTGTCGGCTCGAGCTCGTGGGCTGCTCATGTATATGATGGAAATTGCAATTCTGAAGCTGAAATCAAGCTATAATTCAACACAATCTTGCACTACATTTCTTACATCAAGAATCTCTCCAAAACAACAATGAACTGACAACCAAGAAGAAGAAGAAGAAGAAGCAACCACTACTTTTAATTTAAAATCATATTAATTGAGACCCACAATTCCAGCCACTGTAAACACACAAACAAAAACCTTTCCATCGCCACTGCCACATTTCAAAAACCTCAATTGAATCAATTCTACCACAAAATTCATAATAAAAAAATAAATCTAAAACCATCACAATTTTATTAATCAATCTGTCGAAATCCACAAGCTTTTATCAATTTATGATATATATCAGTACCTGTGTGCTCTACTCACGATGCAGAACCAACCCACTCTCAATTCACGGTATTGAGAAGACCAAGCAACTGTTTGCAAAACTCTTTCTTCTCTTCCAAAACAACTCATGGTTACATATAGGCAACTACGTACAACCTCGAAAACATGCATGTCCCATAATAATGAAAAACATTAATCACAAAAGACAAACAACCAAACAAATAAAAGTAGCAGACAAAAGTCTGATAATAGCCTGATAATAGCCAGTAAAACAATAAATGATAATGAGATCAAATCCCGTGAATCAAGCAACGTAATCGGCCAACTTAATATTCGGTTTGCAGGTTCTTGTGCTTCTTCTACGTGATGCCGTGACCTCTTCTATATTCGTATCATTCGCCCCCCCCCCCGGTGAGAATAACCTTGTCCTCAAGGTTGAAGTTTGGAAACTGCTCTTTAATAGTAGAAATGGGCTCCCACGTAGCATCCTCTTCAGGTAATGTAGTCCAACGAATTAACAACTCCCTTACTCTGCCACTCGCACTTTGAACCCATCGTTCACCCAAAACAGCAGCTGGTTGTAACAATGGTAAACCATCATCAACATATGGAGGTAAAGTTGGTTGCACAACCCCATGGTCCCCTAGTCGACGCTTCAAGAGAGCAACGTGAAAGACAGGATGGATTTTGGCCTCAACAGGTAATTGAAGTCGATAAGCAACATTACCAACATGTTCAATAATTTGATAAGGACCGAAAAACTTGCTGGCCAACTTTTGATACGGACGTTTAAGAACAGAGTGTTGGCTATACGGCTGTAATTTTAAATAAACCCAATCTCCCACCGAAAAGACTTCTTCACGTCGCCTTTTATCAGCCTGTTGCTTCATCCGATTGCGAGTAATGTCCAAGTTAACTTTGAGTTGGCGAAGAATGTCATCTCTAGAAAGTAAAGTGCTGTCAACCTCAGCTACGACGGTAGAACCTAGAACATATGAATTCAAAATGGGTGGTAGACGACCATATAACGCTTCAAAGGGTGTCATGTGAATGGAGCTATGAAAAGAAGTATTATATGAAAATTCAGCCCAGGCAAGGTAAGCTTCCCAACGTTTCGGCGTTGCATGAACAAAGCAACGGAGATATTGTTCTACACATCGATTGACAACTTCGGTCTGGCCGTCCGTCTCAGGGTGGTAAGCCGAACTGGTGCACAATGTTATACCTTGCAATCGGAAAAGTTCTCGCCAAAAGTGACTCATGAAAATTCGATCATGATCGCAAACGACGGATGTAGGAATGCCGTGAAGCTTGATGATATTTCTAACAAAAGCATCGACTACATCCCTAGCGCTATAAGGATGGGCAAGAGCAATGAAATGGGCATACTTTGTGAGGCGATCAACAACTACAAAAATAGCATCTTTGCTGGCTGACTTAGGGAGACCAACGATAAAATCCATAGACACGTCAGTCCCTACACCCGAAGGAAGACTCAATGGCTCAAGCAGGCCAGTAGGGGAACGGGTATCATATTTGTTGCGCTGACAAGAATCGCACTGTTGGACATGTAATCTGACATCTCGTTTCATACCCTTCCAATTAAAAATAAGAGACAAACGTTTATAGGTACGAAGAAGGCCAGCATGCCCACCCACTGGGCTGTCATGAAACTCATGTAAAAGAGATTGCTTAAGAGCTGGAGAATCAGGCACCATAATTCGCCCTGCACGCATGATACAACCATCCTTCAATACGTGGCCCTCCACAGATAATTGATCATCTTTTAGTTGCTGCATAATAGGACCCAAAACTGAATCACGTTGGGTAGCAGCCCTTAATTCACGCCAAACTTCCCAAATAGGACCAGAGATGGCATGTAGTTCAGGATCCCACCCACTACGAGATAATGCATCCGCCGCATTATTTTCTCTCCCCGGTTTATAAATAATCTCGTAATCAAATCCCAAAAGTTTAGCAATCCATTTTTGTTGCTCAGGAGTAGTAATACACTGCTCAAGCAAATAGCGCAAACTTCGTTGATCAGTGCAAATTTTAAACTTTCTTCCTAACAAATATGGCCTCCACAACTTAATTGCCTCCAAAATAGCTAACATCTCTTTTTCATACGTAGACCACGCTAATTTTGCAGGATCTATTGCCTTGCTAAGGAAAGCAATCGGTTTGCCATTCTGAGAAAGTATCGTGCCCACACCCAATCCAGAAGCATCTGTTTCAATTATAAAGTCTTCCAAAAAATTAGGAAGTGCCAAAACTGGCGTAGAAGTCATAGCATTTTTTAAATTATTAAAAGCATCTTCGGCTTCATCATTCCATGTGAACTGCCCCTTCTTTAACAACTGAGTTAATGGCCGAGCAATAAGACCATAATGTCGCACAAACTTACGATAATATCCGGTAAGGCCAAGAAAGCCCCGCAACGCAGTCACTGTCTTGGGTCGTGGCCAATGAATCATAGCTTCAATTTTTCGGTGATCGACTTTCACACCTTTCGTGGTAATAATATAACCGAGATACTCGACTTCAGTTTGGCCAAAAATACACTTCAATGGCTTTATATAAAAAGAGTGTGCAACCAATATATCCAATGTAATCCGAAGATGTGCAAGATGATCCGCCCAGGATTTACTATAAATTAAGATATCATAAAAAAAACTAAGATAAAGTGACGTAAGTGCAGCTTAAAAATAGAATTCATTACGGCTTGAAATGTCGAAGGCGTATTGCACAATCCGAAGGGCATTACCAAATATTCGAAATGGCCATGATGAGTCCGGAATGTCGTTTTGTGAACATCGTTAGGATGAACACGAATTTGGTGATAACCCGCTCGTAAATCAAGTTTGGAGAAATAAGCCGC